CCCAAAGTGGGGTGGGCCACCTCCACATGGCCTCTGCAACATCTGGTGTCAGGGAAGGCCACCACCAACCTAATTGGATTGAGCCCAAGGACGCACTGCAGTACAAGTTGGTGGTGCATGCAAGTGTTGCCCTTGCCACCGCCAGGAGCAGCTCTGCCACCTCCCAGCACTGTGCCTTTGTTGCATAGCAGTGGAATGAGTGTTTGCCCTGGGACATGCCATCCAGATGGAGATGTCCACTCTGGCCAAATGTGTTCCTTAAAAGTGGACAATGGAGGAGGGTCTGCCCAGAGCTGTCATGCAGGTGGTGAATACTCACCATGGTGGTGGGTGGCTGCAGCATTGAGGTGCTGTGTGGTAAGTGTCATGGGCCCTACTACCACCTGGCCCCTGCTGTGACTGATTTCCCTGTGACTCACAGGATAGGGATGCTGCTGCAGAGCTGTCCTCTGAGGTCACTGAGGTGGGTCAAGGATGCAGCAGCATCCAGAGTAGTCATGGACTGATCCCCATCCCTGCAGAGGAGGGGGACTCTGCATTGTCATGCTCCCTTCTCCACAGCCGCGGTGATCCTACAATATCCCTGGGCCCATGTGTCTAGGTAGGAGGAGATGGAGATGAGGGGCAGGGAGGAAGATGAAGGCAGTCAGGCTCCAGAGAGCACAGCTGTCATGAGGCAGGTGGAACTGTGCACATTCTTGTGGGTAGCAAGAGTCTGACTACAAAAAGCTGAGTCAAGAGTCTGGTTTCAGTGTCAAGAGCTGAGAAAGATGTTACCAAAGAGTTGTCTGAAAGGTGTAGACAGGCAGTCCAAAGGTTCCTCATAAGTAGGGATCACAGAGCCAAGAGAGAAGGTCAGGAGCCGGTCCGGAGTCACACGAGCGAGGCAGCATTCAGTGCAGTGGTCAGAGTCAGCAGTTGTTGCTTCCACACATAACATCCTACCTTGGCTGGTTTTTATAGACATGTGCCCAAAGGTCAAACTTGTAGCTAGCTGCTCAGGAGTAATTCTGCAACTACTCAAGCAGTTGGTGTCAGGCCAGGAGGGGAGCATTTTGTTGTCTCTCCTGTAGTTCTGCCCGTAGCCTCTGTCTGCAGCGCTCAAAGGGTGTGGGTGATACTGGAGGGCTGGGAATGATTAACTTAGTTTCACCTTGTGGCTAGTAAGGTGGCCTAATGCTACTAATGAGGGGGCAGGGCCAGGACAGCTGGCAGGGCTATTTAAACACACTGGGAGAGGAGTGAAGGGAGTCCCCGAGAGGAGACACTGGGAAGAGAAGCCACTTCGAGAAAGTGGAAAGGAGGTGTGAGCCTGGCAAGGATGACCCCGGAGCAGAGTCTGAGAGCCCTCCAGCTGAGATAGAAACACAGATGGCTGAGGAGGTGAGACTCAGAGGCAAGAATACTGCAAACTTTGTTGGCTTATGAGGCACTTCCCGGTGAGAGGAAAGCAGAAAGGAGGAGAGGAAGAGCCTGACCCCAGTTTAAAGACTCACTAGGACAACTATTGGGCAGAAGGGACTGAGCAACCAGGGTGGAGGGGAATGGTTTGCAAACACTGTTGTTAGAATCACGATTAAACAGCTCTTGCAAGCAGATGGGCCGAGGATAGTATGAGCACAAGTTCCCCTAGTTTGAGACCCCCTCTTGTAAGTGACTGAAACATCTGTTGACTCAGGGCTGGAGACTGTTGGTGGCTCTGCGCCAGCTGTTGGCTGTGAATCCTGACAAGCCTGCAGTTCATCTTCCTGCTTGGTGGCTTCTGTTCACTCAAAGCTGGCTACACAAGGCTCCTCTCCTCCTGAGGAGTCCTCGCTGAGCCCTGACTGACTCATGACAGTGGCTGAGGGAAGTGAGGTGCCTCTGGGGGAGCAGGGGAAAATGGCACTGGTTCCCACCCGGGAGCTCCTGTGGACTGACGGCTGTGTTCTCCCCCTGTGCCTAGGTCCCTATTCCCTCACCTTTGGTACTGATGTCGTGGACCTCCTGCGTGATGTAAGCCCAAGGAGGAGATGCACAGCAATAACAGTCTCTGTGGTTGCTGAGCATCATGGAGTCCCCAGGCCCAGCAGCTGAAGGGGAGGAGACGCAGAGGGCAGTCCTGACATCTTTGGATGGCAGTGGCCTGGCCTGCCAGACGGGAGGATGGGGGCAGTGCCAAGAAAGATTCCCCTGAGCCAGGTGTTGTGATTGCTGGTGCCCCAGAAGAGGGTGAGAATTTGGCCCCTTGCTGGGTCCACAGGCATGGGGCCCACATTTGGCACAGCCCATCCCACCCACCTTTTCCTCCATGTGGGCAGCAACTGAGCGTGAGTGGTTGGAGAGCCGTTGAGTGGCAGGAAGCTTTTTCTAGGGGACACCAATGGGTGGAGGGGCTGGCAGCATTTGTGATGGTGGTTGCCAGGCACCTGGAGGGGTTTCTTGCCGTCTTGAGAGACGAGGGTAAGGGGCAGGGGCTCATCAAGCACCTGCTGGGGGACCTCTTGGAGGTTCTCCAGCACCCCTGTACCCCTTGCCCTCCTGCTGCTCATCCTCCAGTGGGGGTTGCCACACAGACACCCTCAACAGTTTGGGTGCCCTGCTGGATGGTGCAACCA